TTCTATGACCTAACAACTAGTTACTACCTTCTATGACCTAACAACTAGTTACTACCTTCTATGACCTAACAACTTAAGTCAGCTATTTAGCTCAGTTTACTGAAGGTCATGGTACTGCCCCATATAATACATTAATGATTGATACAACATTTACATTCAGGAAGCCTGTCTGGAGATTGATTGAAACTGATTATGATATAAAGGTTTGAAGTGTAGCGGATCTGGACTGGGTTGAGAGTCGACCAGGTAGCTCAATTGGTAGAGCGTCAGTCTAGAGTTCAGGAGGTCTTGGGTTCAAATCCCAGTCGGTCTGTTGCATTTCTCTTTCTCCTGTTACAGAAGTTTACAGCTGATATCACCTGACACATAATTAGATGTTACAATAAATCTAAGTTCGAGGTCATTTCCATCAGCAAGGACTCTCATTCATACACCAGACCTTTCACTGGGATCAACACAACCCTTTACACTCTAGAAACCTGCATAAACCAGAACTTCAACTATAGGAAAAACTGGATATTCCACTGAAAACGATTGAGCATAAAACAAAGAAGCTCTATGAGAATTACTGTAATACTGTATAGGGAAGGTGAGTAAAATATTCATCTTTCACTGGTAAAATTCATTCTATATAATATCCAAGTGTTAATTTTCCCTTTTCACAGTTATATGAATGCTGTATGCTGAATTTGCCATTATTTTAATTATGTAAGGAGTCAAAAAGGATGAAAGTAAAATGCTGTGATAAACATTTCTCAGTATACAGTAACACGAAACTTGTTTGTGAAATGGAAGTGAGATGGTCATCATTAAACAGCTATGGAAGTCAACGATGGCCGACGTTACATACCCTCGGAGATTCCTCGGAACCAGTCATTTCCATAGTCGACCAATCAAATTCACGGATGCGTGCCTTCAGATCCTCATCTAACTGGTCCTGTAAAACAAACACACTTCCTGTAATGATTGATGTAAGGAATACCTTTAGTAAGATTCATGAAACCTGGTTGACCACTTCAGGAATACGTATATATATAAAAATGTCAACAATTTCAGTCCTAATACACAAATCTACAAATTTTCAGCACAAAGTATTCAAACATTCAAAAGCTACTCTTGATAAGTATTGCAGTGATTTGACACCTTCTTGTGGTGTTGACCTTGAGAATAGGTATCTGCTGCTATCTTCTCATCATATTGATATTTCATAAATGTTCATCAAATAAACTTGAGTGGTTCAGTAGATACAGTCCAGGCATGAACACCAATTGTTTGACCTTCAGTAGATACAGTCCAGGCATGGACACCAATTATTTGACCTTCAGTAGATACAGTCCAGGCATGAACCCCAATTATTTGACCTTCAGTAGATACAGTCCAGACATGGACACCAATTATTTGACCTTCAGTAGATACAGTCCAGGCATGGACACGAATTATTTGACCTTCAGTAGATACAGTCCAGGCATGGACACGAATTATTTGACCTTCAGTAGATACAGTCCAGGCATGGACACGAATTATTTGACCTTCAGTAGATACAGTCCAGGCATGGACACGAATTATTTGACCTTCAGTAGATACAGTCCAGGCATGGACACTAATTATTTGACCTTCAGTAGATACAGTCCAGGCAGGAACACCAATTATTTGACCTTCAGGAGATACAGTCCAGGCAGGAACACCAATTATTTGACCTTCAGGAGATACAGTCCAGGCAGGAACACCAATTATTTGACCTTCAGGAGATACAGTCCAGGCAGGAACACCAATTATTTGACCTTCAGGAGATACAGTCCAGGCAGGAACACCAATTATTTGACCTTCAGGAGATACAGTCCAGGCAGGAACACCAATTATTTGACCTTCAGGAGATACAGTCCAGGCAGGAACACCAATTATTTGACCTTTGACACATGCCAAAAAGAAGCAAGTTGTCTAAGGGCTATGTAATATGTAACAATCTTGTTTATTTAAACATTGACCTGTATGTTGGATTTGCCATTGTCCAGTTGGAATTCATATTGCCTATGAATGCCAACTGCTATCTTCTCATCATATTGATATTTCATAAATGTTCATCAAATAAACTTGAGTGGTTCAGTAGATACAGTCCAGGCATGAACACCAATTGTTTGACCTTCAGTAGATACAGTCCAGGAATGAACACCAATTGTTTGACCTTCAGTAGATACCGTCCAGGCATGGACACCAATTATTTGGCCTTCAGTAGATACAGTCCAGGCATGGACACCAATTATTTGGCCTTCAGTAGATACAGTCCAGGCATGAACACCAATTAATAGACCTTCAGTAGATACAGTCCAGGCAGGAACACCAATTATTTGACCTTCAGGAGATACAGTCCAGGCAGGAACACCAATTATTTGACCTTTGACACATGCCAAAAAGAAGCAAGTTGTCTAAGGGCTATGTAATATGTAACAATCTTGTTTATTTAAACATTGACCTGTATGTTGGATTTGCCATTGTCCAGTTGGAATTCATATTGCCTATGAATGCCAACTGCTATCTTCTCATCATATTGATATTTCATAAATGTTCATCAAATAAACTTGAGTGGTTCAGTAGATACAGTCCAGGCATGAACACCAATTGTTTGACCTTCAGTAGATACAGTCCAGGCATGGACACGAATTATTTGACCTTCAGTAGATACAGTCCAGGCATGGACACTAATTATTTGACCTTCAGTAGATACAGTCCAGGCATGGACACTAATTATTTGACCTTCAGTAGATACAGTCCAGGCATGGACACGAATTATTTGACCTTCAGTAGATACAGTCCAGGCAGGAACACCAATTATTTGACCTTTGACACATGCCAAAAAGAAGCAAGTTGTCTGAGGGCTATGTAATATGTAACAATCTTGTTTATTTAAACATTGAACTGTATGTTGGATTTGCCATTGTCCAGTTGGAATTCATATTGCCTATGAATGCCAACTGAAAGCGTTATTCAGCATTTAGTTCAAATAATGTATATTGTGTATGCTTGTTCAATGAATAGAACAGCCATCGTCCAGGGAGGGTCAGTGGTAGCCAACGAAACAATTATGATGTCATAATAATGATGACGTCAACAATTAATCGGTCCATTGCATTCATAGCCTATATGAATGCCAACTGAATTTGGAAGGGTTAAATAGTGACAATACATACGATGGTAATATAAATATGTTCCATAATATCCCCTACCATCCTCGATACTCCTGAGGTTCACTCACTTTCGCTCTCTTCACGTAGTCGTAGCAAAATCTAAGGTTCAGTGTGCACCACCTTCGGATGAGATGCGAAGACTAGTTTGATCATTTGATGTACATCAAAAGAATCTGTCAGTCATGAAACGTAAACTGACTGGCTTTGGTGTTGTGTGTCGCTCCTCTGTAATCTTCAAAGGACATGTATCAGCCTAGCGATTGGTCAGGACCTGAGACCAATCATATAGCTAGTTGCATGCCTTCAATTTTACTATGACATATTGCAGAGAAGTGAGCATAACCCTTGTGGTATCAAGGAAGATCTCCTACTGACATCACCAAAGATATTAAGTTATAGAGATTGTTTATTGTTCATAATATACAGACACTGAGTAAATAACACACTGACTTTAATATCAGGGTCGCAGCAGAACCATAATAAATACAATGATCTTTGTGACATGATTTGTTTACCACATGACTAAAATGTTTAATATGTCACATATACAAACTCCTTGACACCCTCGTTAAAATGTCTGCAGAGGGAGGTAAGGGTAATAGCTATCCTCACACAGAGACACTGTACTGGACCCCTGCTGGGAATACCGGGAATATTAAAGACATAATCATTTTATCTTATACATGCATTATTTAAAAGTCATAAAGAGTGAGGCAGGTTGTTGTTCTCTCCCATTGAAGACATAGGTGTACACAACTGTTGGTATCATTCACAGGGGACTCGAACAGTTCATTGTCATATTCCAGACTGGGATAAACTTAAGAAAAGACAGAAAGGGGATGGAGACACAACATCCTAGATAAGTGATGCATCTTCTTTATCTTCGTCGATAAAACCGTGGATACCAAGAAGGTATACAGAGTTCAAACTGGTGTAAGTAAAAATCCAGGAAAAGTACGAACAACACAGGAAATCTCTTCCAAACGTTGGAATTGTATTGGAGTAACATTGACATGTTTCAACTCAGAGGCAAGTCGATCGTCATCAGAACGCCTTCGAGTAAAAACATGTCAAAGTTGCTCCAATAAATTCTAAAGTTTGGAAAAGATTTGCAGTATTGTTCACACTTTTTCCTGGGTTTAAGAAAAGACAGTCAGAAATAGGTCCTTCATTTTTAATCTGATTTTTAACCTATATTATAGGTACTTTTTAGTTTGACTTTTACGTTATATTCAGATAAAATTATGAATAAGTTACATACCACTGGGTCATCCTTGGGTTCAAATTTTGGTTTGACCACCAGGTGGCGCTCCGACTTGCGTTTCTCCTTTGTTTTGCGCTGGTTTTCGTCCTTTTGGTATGTGGGCAACTCAGGCACAGCAATATTCACTTTGATGTCCTTTTCCTCTTTACTGTAAAAACACAAAATCAAATATTTAATTCCCGCCAGTAACTTCTTTTCATCTGGGTTTAGGCTTCTCGTTTGAATAAAAAGACGGTCATACTACAGGAGTGGGAAAATGTCACTGGGATTCAAACCTATGGCCTTCCAACTTAAGGAAGACCATGTGTACTCTAACCAAATGAGCTATACCTGGTTAACAATGGACACAGCCAACAAGTTCCACTGTAATTACATTGATCTATATCCCCTATATAAGTATTATATATATATATATATATCATTCTTAAGTGAAAAATCAAGATATCCCATCCCCTTTCTGTATTGTTTTTGAACATTTTGTCAAATCATCTGGATATACAAAACATAGGCTTGTTATATTGACAAAGGGGACCAGGTTTAAAGTAAAACTGTCATATAAAGTAGACGATGTAGATATCCTCTAACATCAAATACAGAGGATTTACCTGTCTGTGATATAAAGTATCCCCTATATAAGTATTATATATATATATATATATCATTCTTAAGTGAAAAATCAAGATATCCCATCCCCTTTCTTTATTGTTTTTGAACATTTTGTCAAATCATCTGGATACACAAAACATAGGCTTGTTATATTGACAAAGGGGACCAGGTTTAAAGTAAAACTGTCATGTAAAGTAGACGATGTAGATATCCTCTAACATCAAATACAGAAGATTTACCTGTCTGTGATATAAAGTAGATGATGGAGAGATATCCTCTAACATCAAATACAGAGGATTTACCTGCCTGTGATATAAAGTAGATGATGTAGAGATATCCTCTAACATCAAATACAGAGGATTTACGTGTCTGTGATATAAAGTAGATGATGTAGATATCCTCTAACATCAAATGCAGAGGATTTACCTGTCTGTGATATAAAGTATCCCCTATATAAGTATTATATATATATATATATATCATTCTTAAGTGAAAAATCAAGATATCCCATCCCCTTTCTGTATTGTTTTTGAACATTTTGTCAAATCATCTGGATACACAAAACATAGGCTTGTTATATTGACAAAGGGGACCAGGTTTAAAGTAAAACTGTCATATAAAGTAGACGATGTAGATATCTTCTAACATCAAATACAGAGGATTTACCTGTCTGTGACATAAAGTAGATGATGTAGATATCCTCTCACATAAAATACAGAGGATTTACCTGTCTGTGATATAAAGTCGATGATGTAGATATCCTCTATCATCAAATACAGAGCATTTCCCTGTCTGTGATATAAAGTAGATGATGTAGATATCATCTATCATCAAATACAGAGGATTTACCTGTCTGTGACATAAAGTAGATGATGTAGATATCCTCTAACATCAAATGCAGAGGATTTACCTGTCTGTGATATAAAGTATCCCCTATATAAGTATTATATATATATATATATATCATTCTTAAGTGAAAAATAAAGATATCCCATCCCCTTTCTGTATTGTTTTTGAACATTTTGTCAAATCATCTGGATATACAAAACATAGGCTTGTTATATTGACAAAGGGGACCAGGTTTAAAGTAAAACTGTCATATAAAGTAGACGATGTAGATATCCTCTAACATCAAATACAGAGGATTTACGTGTCTGTGATATAAAGTAGATGATGTAGATATCCTCTAACATCAAATGCAGAGGATTTACCTGTCTGTGATATAAAGTAGATGATGGAGAGATATCCTCTAACATCAAATACAGAGGATTTACCTGCCTGTGATATAAAGTAGATGATGTAGAGATATCCTCTAACATCAAATACAGAGGATTTCCCTGTCTGTGACATAAAGTAGATGATGTAGATATCCTCTAACATCAAATGCAGAGGATTTACCTGTCTGTGATATAAAGTAGTTGATGTAGATATCCTCTAACATCAAATACAGAGTATTTACCTGTCTGTGATATAAAGTAGATGATGGAGAGATATCCTCTAACATCAAATACAGAGGATTTCCCTGTCTGTGACATAAAGTAGATGATGTAGATATCCTCTCACATAAAATACAGAGGATTTACCTGTCTGTGATATAAAGTATATGATGTAGATATCCTCTAACATCAAATACAGAGGATTTACCTGTTTGTGATATGAGGTGGAATTCTGAAAACCTTGCAGTAAAATATAGCACAGGAACAATTTTTTTCTACTTTTTTTAAAATCTCAACCAACATTTCAAACTTGAAAACTAGGTGAACTTTGTTGTTAATCTGATATTTAAGCTCGGACAAAGTTTGGTTTCTGTCTGAGGATTATTATTGAGTGACAGTCACGACCCCCTGCTGGTGGCCATTCTCCCTCAGTTATTGACATACAAAATGTCCATATCCTTATTATTGATTTTGGCCTGTATTGATATGCCCATTGACATTATATACTATAACTAATGCTCTTCAACAATATCTCATCTTTCATGTTTCCATATCAAGATATCTTGTGGCATTAGAGATAAGTTACGGCAATAATATGTCAGTTCAAAATCAGGCCAAAGCTTTCTCCGTTATTAATAACTAAAAACACCAATAAGATCAACTTGAATTTTCGTATACAAAGTTTATCAATTTATAATCATTTGCCAATCGTAAAAAAAGAAGATTGAAGATAGTAGGGTTTTTTCTGCACTGTCTCCAATTTAATTGCTACAAGAAACCATATGATGATCAATATGTCCAGAAGACTGGGTTTTGACAGTACATTTGATAGCTGGTTTGTTTTAGAATTGTGATCTTATATATATACAGTTAGTCTCCCAGTGTGGTCAGAGATGAAATGAGTTTCTAGCCAAATCAAGATAGAGCTCTTTTAAAATGAACAAAAACTTACAAAAACTTCCAGTCCAAATGGCTACTGTATTGACACTAGTCAGGCGAGTCCTCCATGTACGGTCTCGTACACTGTACGAACCCATGGGGCACCCGTTACTCAGGATAACATCCACATGGGTGTTATTTGAATTTCTACTTAGTAAATGACTGACACCATGGTCATATTTGACCACTGACCTATATAGATCATCTACACCCCTCCAGTCTGTTAAACCCATTAATGTCAATAGTACTTACCATGCTCCAATACATAACCGCCCATAATGCTATTCACGTGTAATACTTTGATCAAATAGGTGTTACGATATAAAGTAATATATACTTATTTAATCCCCAGTTCAAATTTTGTAATTGACTTTTTACACTAGTAATACATGCCAAAGGTCACAAACCATGGGCACCGCATGCTTCCTGAAATGTTGTTATCAAAATAAAAACACAGCTTAAGGACAAATGCTACCTTTTATAATCTCCATGCCAAAGAGTTCCATATTGCTAATTACAAACATGATACACAAGAATACATTCAATGATAAACACTCTGATACTTGTCAATTGATCAATAATGATACTTAGAATCGTTAGCACGAAGGAGATATCCAAAGGGAAAAGACAATATAAAACGTGTAAGGTCTAGCGCATAAATATCCTGAACAGACCTCAACTGGGCTGGAGAAATAAGACTTCAATGTCAATCTGTCTTAGGTCTATTTAGGGGGGGGGGGGGGGGAATCCTATACCTGTATAGAGAGGAATTATAAACGGCCGTTTACCACTTCCAACAAATAAAGTCAATCAAGCTCTTTGGTTAAAAGCTAGTACATATTGAGCAAGTCATTTGCTCAATTCCACATTTAAAATGTTTTACACTCAAGAACAAAACTATATACTAAACATTCAGAAAATACTACACCATAATTCTGTGTACAAGTATGGACTTGAAATAGTGTTATGTCATCCAATGATTCTAGCCTATTGTTTAAAGTACCATTTCGCATGGATAAATCTATATCAGGCTTAAAATAGTGCTCTCTATCTAGCTACGGTACAATACATGCACAATAATTGATTCTGTCTGCCAAAGCCGTTTCCCCCAGTGGTTAAACAAGTAGAATTACTACACATGCAATTGGCAGTGTCTCCTTGTCCTGGGCCGTGGATCAATGAGTATCACACTTCACCGTTAGGCTCAAGTACCATTAACATACCTGTGAAAGCTGCGCACACAGGTACGGAGGCTGGGTAGCTCGTTAACAAGGACAGCTACACAGGAAACCGTAGCATTACATGTGTAGGGGGTAGTGGAACATTACCGTTAACACTGAAACAACCGGACTTGATTGATGACAGGATTGCGGTATCATATCCTATAGACACTGGTATCACTAATGGTGTAGATAATAGATATAAAAATACAATTTGATTTCTTATTCTTAGATATATCTATCAGGCTGAAAACAGTACACAACGTGGAAAGTCATATAAAAAGAAACTGAATTGCTACTACAATCACACTTTAAGAGGAAAAATAACCCTAGTATTGGTCAATGAAATTATTTTCGTCAAATTGCCTGTGAAATGATGAACCCTTAAACATTTATAGATAAACTACCTAGGTACCCCCCCTCAATCATATAACTGTAAACTAGCACAATCGAACTTATCCAAGTCTCCACAAATCCCTACTTCATCTCTGTGTTTTCTTTCTTTTACACAGATATAAAATATAATGCAGGGGTAAAGAACCAAGGTCCAATAAGTGTAGATGAATGTTCCAATCATCTTCTAGGTTTACAATATATACAACAGGTGAGTAAGACAAGTAACTCACCATCTAGAGAAACGTCTTTAATCGAGCAATCTCTGTAGGGACCAAGACAACAACTATATACCTCCAATACACACTGACTTATATAGTTGTCTTAGAGCAACAGACCCGGTCTAGATCAGTCTCACAAGGTATGGTATCCCACACATTCATCATTGTAGCTCAGAGAGGCTTTACGTTTTCAATCCCCTCTAAACAAAACCGACAAGCCCCCATAATCCGGTGTCATGCATAAAAAGTACCCCCCTACCAAAAAGTATCCGGATACTTTTTATACCCTGACCAAAAAGGACCCCCCTATAAAAAAATGATTTTTCTCTTTTT